CAGGCTGCTGGACGCGCGCGCGCGCGCCGCGCGGCTGGGCGCCGCCGGCCGCGCCAAGGCGGAGCGCAGCCACTCCCTGACCGCCGCCGCCGCGACGCTCGACGCCATTCTGTGCCAGGCCGTCGGCGCGGACATCGCGCGATGACCGCCCTGGTGCTGATCCGCCATGCCGAGACGGCTTGGAACGCCGCCAGGCGCATCCAGGGCCAGCGCGACGTGGGGCTGTCGCAGCGCGGGCGGGTGATGGCCAGCGGCTGGCGCCTGCCGGCCGACCTGGCCGGCCACCGCTGGCTCAGCTCCACCCTGGCGCGGGCGCGGGAGACCGCGCACCTGCTGGGCCATCCCGAGGCGACGCCGCTGGCCGCGCTGAACGAGATGCACTGGGGCGCTTGGGAGGGCGAGACCCTGGCGGCGCTGCGCGCCCGCCACGGCGCGGCCATGGCCGCGAACGAGGCGCGCGGCCTGGACTTCCGGCCCACCGGCGGGGAGAGCCCGCGCGAGGTCCAGGCACGGCTGCGCCCGCTGCTCGCGCGGCTGGCGCGGGAGGGGCGGCCGAGCGTGGCCGTCGCCCATCGGGGGGTGATCCGCGCGCTCTACTGCCTGGCCAGCGGCTGGGACCTGACGGGAAGGCCCCCGGTGGACTTCGACCGCGAGTCGATGCAGCGTTTCCGCCTGTCTCGCGACGGTAGACTTGCACTTGACCGGCTCAACGAGCGGATGGTGCCATGACCGACGTTCTTTTCGTGGTGACCCACCTGTTCGGCATCGGCCACCTCAAGCGCGCCGCGGCGCTGGCCCGAGCCTGCGCCGCGCGCGGCCTGTCGGTGGCGCTGGTCTCGGGCGGCCGGCCGCTGCGCCACCTGGAGCTGGGCCGGGCCCGCCTGATCCAGCTCGAGCCCTGGCTGCGCAGCCGCGACGAGAGCTTCGCCGCGCTGATCGGTCCCGGCGACCGGCCGCTCGACGCGGCCCTGCAGGCTGCGCGGCGGGCGCGGCTGCTGGAGATTCTGGAGGCCGAGGCGCCGCGGGTGCTGGTGACCGAGCACTACCCCTTCGGCCGGCGCAAGCTGCGCTTCGAGCTGGAGCCGCTGCTGTGCGCGGCGCGCGCGCGCCGGCCGCGACCCTGGCTGGTCGCCTCGGTGCGCGACCTGCTGGTGCGCAAGCCGGCGGAGAAGACCGCCTGGATGGCCGAGGCGGCGGCGGCCTACGACCGCATCCTGGTGCACGGCGACCCGGCGCTGATCCCCTTCGAGGCGAGCTTTGCCCAGACCGCCGCCCTGGGCGAGCGGCTGACCTACAGCGGCTACGTGCTGGAGGCGGGCCGGCCGCTGCGCCGGCCGCCGCGCGGCGAGGTGCTGGTCTCCGCCGGCGGCGGCGCCTTCGGCCTGGCCCTGCTGACGAGCGCGCTGGTCGCCCGGCCGGCCAGCCGGGCGCGCGACCTGCCCTGGCGGCTGCTGGTCGGCGACAATCTGCCCGAGGCGGACTTCCTGGCGCTGCGCCGGGCGGCGCCGGCCGGGGTCAAGGTGCAGCGCGCGCGGCCCGACTTCCCGGCCCGCCTGCAGACCTGCGCCCTGTCGATCAGCCAGGGCGGCTACAACACCACCGTGGCGGTGCTGCACGCCGGCTGCCCGGCGGTCATCGTCCCCTACGAGGCCGACGGCCAGAGCGAGCAGCGCGAACGCGCCGAGCTGCTGGCGCGGCGCGGCTGGCTGACCTGCGCGGCGGGGGGCGACCGCGACCCCCTGGCCCTGGCGGCGGCGATCGACCGCAGCCTGGCGGCGCCGGCGCCCGCGGGCCGGCCGGATTTATCCGGCGCGGCGACCACGGCCGAGATTCTTCGGGACTTGGCTGCTATAGTGCCGCCCGCGTGAGAGGAGGCCGTCAGGAAGGAGCAGAGTCAGCGGCGCGATGAGCGATCTCGACACCGCCTTTTATCGGTATCCGCCGCGGGCGTTGGTGGGCGATTACATCCGGTCCGGCGTGGGCACGGCCTTCGGCCTGGTGGTGCTCGCGACCAACCCGGTGAACCCCTGGCTCCTGGGCATCTTCGGATCGCTCTCGGCGGCCTTCGCCCTGTTCGGCCTGCGCACCCTGCGCCATCACCTGACCGAGGTCGCGGTCAACCCCGAGGGCGTCTTCGTCAAGGACATCGGCACGCGCGGCCTGGCCTGGCCGGCGCTCGACCAGGTCAAGCTGCGCTTCTACGGCACCCGCCGGCAGGCGCGCGGCGAGCGGGTGTCCGGCGGCGGCTTCCTGCAGCTCACCCTGCGCGGCGGGGGGCGCAAGCTGGTCTTCGACTCCACGCTGCTGGGCTTCAAGGACGTCGCCTGGCACGCCGCCCGCGCGGCCCGCGAAAAGGACCTGCCGCTCGACCCCACGACGGCGGGCAACCTGCTGGACATCGGCGTCGATGCCGACAGCGACGCGCCGCGGCCGCACCCGCAGGAGCCGATGGCGCTGTGAGCCCGGCCCCGCCCGCCAGCCAGAGGCCCCACCGCCAGTCCGCCGCCGGCGCGGCCGGCCCCGGCGGGCCCCCTCTGCTGGAGGTGCGCGACCTGGAGATCGCCTTTCATCTGCCCGAGGGGCGGCTGGAGGCCGTGCGCGGCGCCAGCTTCAGCGTGCCGGTCGGCGGCACCGTCGCGCTGGTCGGCGAGTCCGGCTCCGGCAAGTCGGTGATCAGCCAGGCGATCATGGGCATCCTGCCCAAGCCGGCGCGGATCACCGGCGGCGCGATCCTGTTCACCGACCCGGCCGAGGGGCCGCAGGCGCAGCCCCAGGACATCGCCAAGCTGGCGCCGGCCGGGCCGCGGATGCGCGCCCTGCGCGGCGGGCGCATCTCGATCATCTTTCAGGAGCCGATGACCTCGCTCTCGCCGGTGCACACGGTCGGCGACCAGATCTGCGAGGCGCTGCTGCTGCACCGCAAGGTCGACCCGCAGCAGGCGCGCGCGGCGGCGGCGGAGACCCTGCGCCTGGTCGGCTTTCCCGAGCCGGCGCGCGCGCTCAAGACCTATCCCTTCGAGCTGTCCGGCGGCCTGCGCCAGCGGGCGATGATCGCCATGGC